GTGTGTGTGTGTGTGTGTGTGTGTGTGTGTGTGTGTGTGTGTGTGTGTGTGTGTGTTGGAGGTGGGAAGACTAGCAAGGAGAAGAGTGGATGAATAAAAGGAGGAGGGGAGGGAGATGGGAAAGATGAAGTTGTAAATTGAGGGAAGAGAGAATTGTGTTAGGAGGAGGAGGAGGAGGAGGAGGAAGAAGAGGATAGAAACAGGAGGAGGAGGAAGAGGGTGATGATGATGAATAGAGAGAGGAGGAGAATGATAACACAGGCAAGAGATCAGTGTTGAAGAAGGACCTTACATGAGAGAGAGAGAGAGAGAGAGAGAGAGAGTGGCCTTCATACCTACCACATATCCCCTTTAGGTCTCGACAGCTAAGGCAGACAGGTAGACACACTTTATAGCTCCCTTAGCTTTATAGCTCCCTTAACTTTGTAGCTCCCTTAACTTTATAGCTCCCTTAGCTTTATAGCTCCCTTAACTTTATAGCTCTCTTAATTTTATAGCTCCCTTAGCTTTTTAGCTCCCTTAACTTTATAGCTCCCTTAGCTTTATAGCTCCCTTAGCTTTATAGCTCCCTCAGCTTTATAGCTCCCTTAACTTTCTTTACTTCTTGTCTTCCTCTCCCCTCCTTCTTCAGTCCCGCCTCCTCCTCCTCTCCCCCCTCCTCTTCCTCTTCCCCTCCTCCTCCTCTCCCTCCTCCTCCTCCTCCTCTTCCTCTCCTCCTCCTCTTCTCCCCTCCTCCTCCTCCTCCCTTTCATCTTCCTACTACCAGTCACACAGAATGAAACAAAATGACTTAAAATTTAATCATTTTTGGCAATATTTACTCAGCGCAACACTCGCCTGCAATCTTCTTCTTCTTCTTCTTCTTCTTCTTCTTCTTCTTCTTCTTCAAAATTCATTCCCTTTCGATAACATTTACTCCGCCCAGTGCCCGCCTCTCCTGACCTGACGTAAAATTATAGACTTTTTACTTTGGATTTTTTCTTTATGTGCAGTTCAACGTAACCAATGGCCAGTTGTTCATTACTTGTGCTTTTGAACTGACAGACGGGCAGAGGTCAAAGGCCGTCAGTCAACGTTTTTTTGTCTCTCTCTCTCTCTCTCTCTCTCTCTCTCTCTCTCTCTCTCTCTCTCTCTCTCTCTCTCTCTCTCTCTCTCTCTCTCTCTCTCTCTCTCTCTCTAAGTATTAGCCAGTCCCAACACGTCATGACCCGGGGAATTATATTTTGGCGACGCCCACTGATAGAACAGGTGTAGAGTTTTGCTAATTGACAGGTGTAAAATTTTGCTGAGAGATGTTCACTACGTACAGACTCCCACGGACACCACGTACAGACTCCCACTGACTCACGGACACCACGTACAGACTCCCACTGACTCACGGACACCACGTACAGACTCCCACGGACGCTACATAACCTAAGCCCGAAATATCCACCACATGGGGACTAATTGAGAGCAAATCCAATTTCCTCCGGAGGCAATTTACACGTGTTGTCCTATGAGAGAGAGAGAGAGAGAGAGAGAGAGAGAGAGAGAGAGAGAGAGAGAGAGAGAGAGAGATAAAAGGTAAGACATAATAAAAAAATCAAATACGATCCCCCTTCACTACCACGTCTTGCCCCCTCCCCCCTCCTTCCAGCTTCCTCTACCGCTCCCCGAGTTAAAAATTCAGTGGCACGAGGCTCCACGCTGTCCTGACGTATTGTTTACATAGTCTAACTCTCACAGGGACTGGGATCCTCTGGGTTATTGGTTCCTGTGAAAGCTCTGGCGCTGGAAGAATAACAGCTGTGTTTTGTCAATAAATAAAGTAGAGGTATTTTAATGGCGTGTAGGGCAGAGAAGAACGGGTCCTAGTGGGGCGGGGTGGGGTTAAGGTGTGTGTGTGTGTGTGTGTGTGTGTGTGTGTGTTTTTCTCTGTAATGATGCCTGTTTATATGTCTGTATTTATGCTTCACTGTAATCCTGTCTATCTGCCTGTTTGTCTGTAATTATGTCTCGCTGGTTCTCTGTATTCCTAGAATCATGTCTGTCTACCTTTAATCCTGGGTGTCTGTAGTCATGTCTGTGTTTGTAATCATATCTATAAATCTATCTGTCTACCTCTAATCCTGTCTGGGTGTGTCATCATATCTGTCTTCTGAACATGTATAAACCTGTGTGGGACGGCAACAACCAATCAGGTGTAAGGAAGTGTGGAGGTAGTGACCAATTAGAGTTTACGGAGGGGAGAAACAATGAACCAATCAGGAGCAAGGAAAGTGATAACGTTTGGTAAGGAATACATCCAGGAATGCAGTGAGAATTTTTCCGTGTTTATATATCGCAATAACATGACCCACCGTGGTAATATTTCAACATTAACCTCATTAATTAGTCTTTTGTTTACTTAGGTTTATGAAAGTAATGAGAGCAACATGAGAAAAATAGCGATGTTAAGGGATAAAATAATAATATTGTTGACGACGTGCGAGTGTAGCGAACAGGAAATGGTAATTGTGTTATGACGCAGGTAAGTCACTGACCCTCATTAACCCGATGTGTTATCATTACACCTGGTTTAATTTTACCTTATTAATTATGTAAGGCGTTGAGTGATGAATTAATTTTTGTAGTCTAAAGACTTCATGAATACCAACTCATTAGGGTGAATTTTATGAATATATTGAATGAGGGGGTCATTAAGACTGGGGCCCCCATTAGGACTAATCCACTTTTGAATTGTGGCCCATTGAAACCTGGGCCCCCATTAGGACTAAACCACTTTTGAATTTGGGCCCAATGAAACCGGGGCCCCCATTAGGACTAAACTACTTTTGAATTGGGGCCCAATGAAACCGGGGGCCCCTATTAGGACTACACCACTTTTGCATTGGGGCCCATTAGGACTAAACCACTTTTGGATTCGGACTAATTAAGACTAAGGGCCCCCATTAGGACTAAACCACTTCTGCACTGTGGCCCATTAACACCCCGAGGGCCCTTAGTAGGACCAGAAGCCTATTTGATAGGTCACACTCGAGATAGTTCAAAGGTCAAAGTTAAAACAATATAGTCATTCTCAAGGTCAACCTCACAGACGCCAGCACTAATTATACTCAACCTTGAAACTATTAAGGTTCATGTCCGGGAAATTCAGGTGTTTATTGAAGGTCATGGGGTCAAGGTGTATTTGGTAAGGGTGGGCTATTATTGGTCTGTGATGTGTGGGGAAATTTGTCTGTCTCTGTCTGTGTCTGTCTGTCTGTCTAACTGTCTGTCTGCCTGTCTTTCTGTCTGTCTGTCTCTGTGTGTCTCTTTCTGTCTGTCTGTCTGTCTGTCTGTCTATCTGTCTGTCTGTATATCTGTCTGTCTGTCTGCCTGTATATGTGTCTGTCTGTCTATCTGTCTGTGTTGGCTTTTTCTCTCTTTATCTATATGTCTTTCTCTCTATATACATATCTGTCTCTATGTATCCATCTCTCTCTACTTATTCATCCATTTCTCTCTCTCTCTCTCTCTCTCTCTCTCTCTCTCTCTCTCTCTCTCTCTCTCTCTCTCTCTCTCTCTCTCTCTCTCTCTCTCTCTCTCTCTCTCGCTCGCTCTCTTTTCATCTCAATCTTCATTAAAATTGCAAAGCTGGTCGGTCCTGGTCTAGAACTCACTCTCAACTATGGGTCAGAGGTCAAAGGTCATGGGTCAGAGGTCGTGGGTCAGACGTTATGGGTCAGAGGTTAGGGCGGTCAGAAGTCATGGGTCAGAGGTCATGGGTCAGAGGTCATGGGTCAGAGGTCATGGGGCAGAGGTCATTGATGAAGGTCACTCCCCAACCTATGGAGAGCTTCATTTGGTCTTACCTCGGCACCTTCAATAGCCTACCGGTGGGGTTTGTCTCTCGCTCTGTCTGTCTGTCTGTCTGCCTGTCTGTCTGTTTGTCTGTCTGTCTGTCTCTACCTCCCTTGCCCTCTATCATTCTTTCTCTCACATTCTCTGTCCTTCTCTCATTATAACTTTACCTCTTGTTCTCTGCCTCTCCCTGCATACCTCTCGTTCTCTCTCTCTTTCTCACTTTCTCTTTCTTCCAGCGATAAACTCCCAACAATTTAATCTAAAAGTTTGAAGAGAGTACGTCAAAGGGTTGTGGAGATGGGGGGGGGGGGAGGGGTGTGTAAAAGGGTGGTGAGAGGGGAGGGGGGTGAGGGGTATGGGTGGGTAGAAGGGGTGAGGGAGGCCAAGTAGGGGACAGGCACTAATCACCCACTATTACACCCTGACCTCCTTGGCCAAGTCTCATGCCCGCTTGTGTGATCCTAAGAACTTTTGAGCTGTAAGTGAGGCTCGTCTGAAGCACAGGAGGGAGAGAGGGGGAGAGAGAGAGAGAGAGAGAGGATGGGGGGATGGGGATGGTCAAGGGATAGTGGTGGTCGTGCAGGCCCACAAGAAGCTGATCTTCTAAGCTGGGGAGAAACAGATGAAAGCGTTCCTAAGTTAAATTGCTGGCGGGCAGACATACAAAGGATCACAGGTGTATTGATGGTTGATGATTAGGGCAGGTGAGGGTAGGTGTATCTCTCTCTCTCTCTCTCTCTCTCTCTCTCTCTCTCTCTCTGTGTGTGTGCGTATGAATGATTATTATAGGTGTGTGGATGATGCAGGTGTATGGGGGTGTGTGGATAATGTGGATATATGCAGGTAGTGTGTGGATAATGTGGATATATGCAGGTAGTGTGTGGATAATGTGGATATATGCAGGTGCGTGTGGATAATGTGGATATATGCAGTGTGTATGGATAATGTGGACATATGCATGTAGTGTGTGGATAATGTGGATATATGCAGGTGTGTGGATAATGTGGATATATGCAGGTGTGTGGATAATGTACATATATGCAGTAGGTGTGGTGTGTGTGTGTGTGTGTGTGTGTGTGTGTGTGTGTGTGTGTGTGTGTGTGTGTGGCTGTGGACGGGCTGGTGGCTGGCTGGCAGAAGGGACACACTCAGTCAGTAGCCTTTGGCAGCCCGCGGCGCGAGGGTGTGTGTGTGCGTGTGTATGTGTCTCTCTCTACGCCGCCTCACCCACACCATCGCTGGCTAGCACTTGACTCACAGCAAAAACTTATACATTCAAATCCACGTCAATTTTCCCTCATTCAGTCTAAATTAAAGCCACATATTAGTGCATCAGTGTAGCTAGAGAAGTGTGTATTACAAACATACAAACATTTATCCAAAGTTAACCACGCAATGAAACTTAATCCCTTGAAATTAAAGTAAAAATATATATATATAAAAACGAAAAATCTACTGTTGACATGGTGCGTGTAAATAAACAAAGTGTGTTGGTTGTTATATTTGATCAGCTGATGTTGAACCCCAGGTGAGTTGTGTAAATATTTACCTTTGTACTGACGTGTGACATAGTGTGTGTATGTGTGTGCGTGTGTGTGTGCGTGTGTGTGTGTGTGTGTGTGTGTGTGTGTGTGTAATAACAATAATAATAATAATAATAATAACGGTTTATTGAAACAGCATGGCAGCCGGAAGGCTGAAAATATACAGTTGCATAATTGGGGAACGGGTCTCTTGATTGACAAATAATATAGAAGTAACATATGTGATACAAATATGGTATATAATAACTAAGTGGGGAGGTCATACTACAGGACATTTCAACATAGTGACAGTGCAAAAAGCTAAGACTGACTGGTAGTGAATACACTGGTTGATTACGAGTTGTTGGTAATTAATTTTTACAATGGTTGGGACTGGGCTTCTTATAGCGATCAGTACGTGCTCGTGTGGGCTGGATGCGGTTGTGGTGTCGATCAGCAATTCGCGGACGAGGGATCTCGGGTGGTAGTAGGAGCCGGTGTCGAGGATGGTGCAGAAGCTTCACACCAAATTTGCAGATGAGGTCGTGGTGATGGTCAGAGAGAGCCGAGAGGGTCAGTGTGTTGAGCGCTTCTTGATATGTGGAGTAGGAAGGGGAGAGAATAATCTTGCATGCCCTCTTTTGCACTTTTTCTAGGTGTTTACGTTGTGTGGCATTTAGGGGGAAGACCAGTCAGGGGAGCACAGTTGAGCTTGGGAAGTATGAATGTTGAGTAAACACTGAGGAGCTCGGGCGTAGGAACTCCGAGGGACTTGAGTCGGCAGAAGAGGTGGAGACGAAAACTGGAGGATTTGACAACTGTACTGACGTGCGTTTTCTAATTTAGTTTGTTATCTATAGTGACGCCGAAGAGCTTAGTGGAGTCTACAACCTGGAGTGTGTTGGGACCTAAAGTAATGGAAGGGGGTGGAACAACGTCGGAGGAGAGGTTGATGTGCATAACCATGGTCTTGGTATGGTTGATGGTGACGTGGTTGTTGGTGGCCCAGTTTTGGAGACTGTTCAGTAAATCCTGTGTGTGTGTGTGTGTGTGTGTGTGTGTGTGTGTGTGTGTGTGTGTGTGTGTGTGTGATACTGGACAAACTTTGCGCTTGTATCTTTAATAATTATCTTTTATATATACACATTTTAAGTAAAGTTAATAATTATACCATTTTAAGTAGAGTTAGTGATTATATTAATTGACTTTGTGCGCTGTCTATCTCTTCGTTGGTGGGCAGAATTGTTGCTTAGTTTGGCGATAGTTTGAGGCCGTGTGGGTTACTCTCTCTCTTTCTCTCTCAATCTATCTTTATCCCTCTCGTCTCTCTCTCTCTCTCTCTCTCTCTCTCTCTCTCTCTCTCTCTCTCTCTCTCTCTCTCTCTCTCTCTCCGCTATCCCTTATCTATCTTGCATGGTAAGCCACCAAGTATTCAGTGTACATGGCAAGCTGAGACACAGGAACCTGGGCTGGGCTGCGGTCTGTTACATATTGTCATTCACTGAAGGAGTTATATTAGCCGGGCTTTGCTCCTCTCCCATAGTGACTGATTCCTCTTCCATGGTAACTGATTACTTTTCCATAGTGACTGATTCCTCTTCCATTGTGACTGATTCCTTTTCCATATTGACTGAGTCCTCTCCCATAGTGCCTGACTCTACAATAGAAGCTGATAGGACTTTACACCTGACCTGACCTGATTTGACCTGGACTTTACTGACCTTCGTAAATGATAACCAGGTAAACACAGAGGTGAGTCATGATATTAGCTCATCTCAGTTCATCTCGTATTTCGTTTCCCTCATCTCAACTCATCTCATAGCTTGACCACGTAAATTATGCTAAGTAGGAAAGTCGAATCTCTTAAAAAGTGCTGAAAATGCCAAGGTTCACCCAGACTTAAGCAGTGTGTGTGTGTGTGTGTGTGTGTGTGTGTGTGTGTGTGTGTGTGTGTGTGTGTGAAAAAGAGTCACTTCATACGGACAAATAGACAGATAAAAGTAATACTGTATAATCCTTTCGCATTCATGGCGAGGTATAATAAAGAAGAATATAATCATCGTTATTTCCTCCCTACCTGGTGATGTTTACCTGTAATCAGCTGTTGGCAACCTCGTTAAGATGAATCATACGCGCTATACCCACCCCCTTACCCCGAACACCTAATTATTTATATAATTACATATTATAGGAATAAATTAACTTTCCTCTCCCTATGACATTTTTAACCATGAGATATTTAATTATCTTTGCATGTTAATTATAAGGAAATTTATCAGTTTTTTGAGGGGTTCTTTTGGGTTTTTGGTTTTTAAATAAATAAATTTGGTTGGTTAGTGTATTTAGGTTAGGTCAGGTGTGGTAAAGTTAGAATAGGTGGGATCAGGTCAGGTCATGAGGCCCTGAACAAAGAAAGGTTACTGGTCACACACACACACACACACACACACACACACACACACACACACACACACACACACACACCAGCGTTGGCAAAGTGACTTGTGGTTATTACTACTAGTGTGTGTGTGTGTATGTGTGTGTGTGTGTGTGTGTGTGTGTGTGTGTGTGTGTGTGTGTCAGTGAGAGTTGATGACAGGCTCCGTCAAGTATTTTAGTGTCTGTATGCCTGTCCTCATTACCAACGACGTAATGTAAATTTATCTGAAGAAATTCCTGGGATATTGTTTATTCTTAGAAATTTGATAAGGTTAGATTAGGTTGTTAGGTTAGGTTAGGTTAGGTTAGGTTATGCTCTTGGTGAAATATTTTGCTAGATCCCAGTTTAATGTAATCTAACCCGCTATCGGACTGGGTTCCACTAGGTTCTTGGGTTCCATTAGGACTTGGGTTCCATTGGGACTCATAGACACATTAGTTATGGGCCCCTGAATGCTAATGGTCAGGTCATTTTGGGTCAAATTGTGTGACCCATTTGTACATTGAGAAAAATTTACTCAATGGACAAATGGCTCACACAATATTGCCGGGAGTATTTAATATTCCCGGCAATATTGTCATTTGGTGTAAAGAGATGCGAGTTTTATTAGTGAGGCTGACGGGCCGCCATTGTTACGTCATCGGTGTATAAATATAATCATTGTATATGTTGTGACGCCTAACCTAACCTAACCACACTCTTATGTTTTATTCATTAATAGCCTCAGTGTTCGTTATATTCGACCACTGTTTTGGCGTCCTTGGCAATCGATACAGTTCGTGGTATATGATTGGTTGCTAAGTGAGCCTCGTCATCCAATCAGCGTTGTAGTAGCACGATTCATTATACACTCACCAACCAATCAACTTCCACGAATTGAGAAAGATGGCTGACGGTGGAATTTACTCGACAAAAAATAAATTATACCTCCCATAATTTTTTATTCTTGATGGACTAGATGTAATTCCTATCATCATTACCATCATCATTACGCTCATAACAACCATAACACCAAGTCGATAATCCCGGATGAGTAACCTTACGACTTATCCTCACGACAAAGGCGGTGACGGTGGGTCAGGTAGGGTCAGGTACAGGTGTAGTAACTCTCACTGCAGGTCTTGGGTCATAGGTCAACTACCCTGAGGAGTTACACACGTATACCTAACTGATGACTGCAGCACACACACACACACACACACACACACATTTTTTTACTTTTCTTAAATTAGTTGTTGGGGTTGGGTGACCACGGTCAAGGGTGGGTGGGGAGGGGTGAAGGGTTAAAGGGGTGTAGTGGTGAGGGGGAGGGAGGGTGTAGGGGAGAGGGGTGAGAGGTGGTTAGTAGGGGAACCCAAGAGAGTTTTAATTACTTTACTTAACTCTTAATTACTTTACTCCAGAAACTCAGGTAATTCTAAGAGTTACAGGTAATGAGGAAGAATTACTGGTCCTAAATTCTCACGTGAGTATTTTTAGAGCAGAATTTTGGGTGAATGATTGTGACGTGTGTCTCTCACCCAGATTAATAAGCTCAACCACCTTTCCCTCATATACTTAACTATTCATCACTATTGCTAAGCACTCTCAGGGAAACCACGACCCGAGGCTTTTGTTGTGGCCTCTGAAAGACGTATGAGTGAATGTCTGAAAAAAAAATAAAAAAAATACAAAATTAAAATACAAAAAATACAAAATAAAAAACAAAAAATAAATACAAAATAAAAATACGAAAAATACTAAATAAAAACCATAATATTTAACTTGTGGACAATTTTTATAAAACTTAATAACTGCTGTAGATTTTTTTAGAAGTGTGAAATGGAAAAAAATATATATATAATTTTTTATTTTTTTACTGAAATTTAATGTTTTTTGTGTGTTTGAGGAGATAAGATGTGTACTATTTTTTTTAGTGTCCAGTGATGTGTTTTAGTGGACAGTGATGTGTTGAAGTGTCCCGTGATGTGTTGAAGTGTCCAGTGATGTCTTTTAGTGTCCAGTGATGTGTTGAAGTGTCCAGTGATGTGTTGAAGTGTCCAGTGATGTGTTGAAGTGTCCAGTGATGTGTTTTAGTGTCCAGTGATGTGTTTTAGTGTCCAGTGATGTGTTGAAGTGTCCAGTGATGTGTTGAAGTGTCCAGTGATGTCTTTTAGTGTCCAGTGATGTGCTGAAGTGTCCAGTGATGTGTTAAAGTGTCCAGTGATGTGTTGAAGTGTCCAGTGATGTGTTTTAGTGTCCAGTGATGTGTTGAAGTGTCCAGTGATGTGTTGATAGATATGTTACAACAATAATAATGAGAAGTAATGTTTAAGTGACTGTTTGAAGTGAATGTTTAAAGTGAATGTTTTAAGTGAATGTTTAAAGTGAATGTCTTAAGCGAATGTAGAATGTTGAGGAAAACAGAGCAGGAAATGTTTAAGGATTTTCATGGACCGTAAACATTGTGTTATCCCGGTGGTTCCTGACTCGTGTAAAATTGTAAACATTACGAGCGTGGAAGACTGTGTTGAATGTGTGTGCGTGTGTGTGTGTGAGAGAGAGAGAGAGAGAGAGAGAGAGAGA